GAAGAAGGGTGGAACGTAAGTAGGAGCACGGCGATGTCTCGTAGTTTTTCGTTTACTGGAATTTCTTCGTAATTTCTTAAATGATCTCCATCTGAATATGCGACCGACGACGGCAGCCGGTTCTCTTTTACGCGTTAAGTTCTCTTTCAACAATTTGTTTTCACTTTTTCAACAAGCTTTGAGGTGAACGATTTTCTAAGCCAGAAAAATTCCGTTTTTCGAGAGCAATTAGAAGTGCAGTCACGTGAAAAGGTCACCGTCCACCTAGCCTCGAATTTGTACAGTATTGTCCAATTTTAACCTTTTCACCGCTGTTGCCACCTACAGGCGCTTTGAATATTTTCTCGCGCCGTTCTCTCGCCGCCTATAGGCGCTTTCGATATTTTCTCGCGCTGCGCCCTTCACCGGCTACAGGCGGTTTCGATATTTTTCTCGCACCGCGCCCTTGACGACTTTTGGCAAACTTTCACCGCAATTTAATCCTTAATTTTTGCCCTTTGCGCACTTCCATCTTAATTTAAAATTAAGTTAAAATTTTTTTTTTAATTTTGAAGCGCCAAAATGAAAGATTTTGCGGCCATAATTGAACGTACTAAATTTTACACAGCGAAAGGGTCAATTTCTATTAAACGGAGGTGCAGTTTGTGGTATTTTGACTGGAGAAAGTGGATTTTAATGTTTTACGTTATTATTACGTTACACGGTTTTCGTCTTTTGGAATAAATTCCGTAGGGAATAATGTGAAATTATTCAAGCTTGAATGTTCATTTACATGATGTCTGATAATAAACGAATTTCTGAGGTTATACGATCGTTACGGTTTGCATTTATGCGATAACATTGCGGTTTCTGTAGTTGTGTGGTAATGTAGTTAGTTAATTTTCCTCGTTTCCCTCAACTTTGGTATACTTATGTAATCAATGACGTAATTGCAGTGTTTGTCAATAGTTTCAATATGAATATATCTAATCTATGTATTAATGGTATATTAGAAATGCCGAATTTTTATATCGTTGGATCAGGGTCTTCATTTGTAATTCCGATTAGTAAGAGCAATAACAACGAGGAAACTAAGAAATTCGTAGATTTGATTCACGTTTGGCCGCTCAAATTTTTTGTAACTTTCAAATAACAAATAATATTACATTTCAATATTTATACAACATAGTGAATTATAAATCGCATACGTAATTCGAAACGAGTGAGGAATTTGGTATATAAATTGTACAATATTGAATATTTCAAAAATATTCAACTAACTTATTTGAGCCTGTGAATTTTCATTACAAAAAAAATAAATTTAGCAAATTGAGAGAAATAGCTTTGCAAGCAGTGATTAATATCTGATATTTTCTTGTTGTGTAAAAGGTATTCGTAAATGAAGCAAATGGATTTTGCTGTTCGAAGATAATATCGTATAGTATTTAACGGAAAGGGAGAAATAAAAACTTTTCACGGAAACTCGTAACTGGGAATGAAAAATCGATCAGCTACAGTAATCCTTTGTGAAAATGGTTCAGAGTAGATTTCAGAAAACCGGCCATATCGATGTTGAAACGAAACATACGCGAAAACAGAATTATAAAACCAAGCTCTAAAACTATTACCAGAGAACACCGTAACAGCCAATTAAACCGTTTGAAGCTAATTCGGAATATGTAAAGGCTGTTTAATAATTGAGCATGATTGTTACACAATAACACTTGGTTATAGGTGTACTGTTGTTGCACGGTAAACGGTAATAGATCCGGGGTGAAAAGTTTCAGCATATCTAGAATACTTGCTGGTTGTTCTCCTAATAACCACATAATTCTTGTTAGATTGTTGCAATATTATAGTCTGCTTCACGCAGGTAGGTAGAGCTATATCAAAATCTTTCGTTTTGGCGTTTTAAAATTAAAATTGAAAAATTTTAGAACTAAAAATTAACATTTAAAACTTAAAAATCAAGGATTAATTAAGGTGAAAGTGTGACAAAAGGCGCCAAGGACGAAGCGCGAGAAAATATTCAATACGCCTATAGGCGCCAAGGTCACAGTGCGAGAAAATATTCAAAACGCCTATAGGCGCTAAGAATGGCGAAATTGTTAAAACGGTTGGAAATAGAAAAAATTTTTAGAAAGCAAAATTAAATGGTTTTATATGTTCTACAATTCAGCATTAGTTTTATGCATTTGCGGGCATATTTATATATGGTGGCAAAGTGCAACTGCACTCTTTTTTCAAATGGATTTCTTCTTTCGTGTCTTGATATTATTTCTTATATCATCTATTTGGTTTCCAGTTATTTAGGCTATTTCCGATACGATGCGATCTTCTTGCAATACGTCGCGAAGTTTTACTGAGAAAATTGAAACATCTCGTGAATTATTCAGTTTTCGATTATCGAACTCCGTTACTTTTATAGGAAGAATAACTCAAGAAATCGATTTATGCAAGGAAAATTATATAGTTCCATTTAAGAAAAGAAAGTAGCTACACTTTGCAACCACATCGATGCACAAAAATTGCAAAAATGTAAAACATAACATCGTGTAATTTTACCACTCGAAATTTCTTTCTAACCGTTTTAAAGATATAGCTCCACCCAGTTGTCTGAGACACCCTGTACATGTTAAATATATTCGTGAAATATTGACGATTTGTAACTGTCGACAAAATGTTTTTATTAAAGTTTTTGAACGTAGATTGGAAAATATAGTTATTTGCGCTCTTTCTTTTTTATCTAGGCCATACGGGGTGTTTCGGTAATTTTAGTGCATACAGATAGGAGATGATTGCTCATGCAAATATAAGTCGAAGATATACGAAAAAATTTGTTTATGTGGGGTTCCATTTCCGAGTAAATTGAGTTTGAATATTCATTAGCTGCGCGTGCACTTACTATACTATACAAAATAACCACAATCTGCTTAGTTCACCCAGTCTATCTAGCCACCGCTACTTCTATTTCTGTTTATAAATAACGTCAGTCAAGATTTGGTGTACTTTTAAATAATGCAATAAATTTCAATAATTGTTTTATTTTAATAATTTACAAATTGCTGAAAATGTCGCTTTTGATGTCGCAAACAGATTCTTGCTCGACGAATTAAAGAAATGTGAATTGTTAATGTGTTCAAATTCACTTTTTCGAATGTCTGTATGATAGTTTTAATCTTTTAATTGATCTTCTAATTGAGGACGATTTCGATTATTTTTAGAAGAATGGAGTTACATTATAGAAGTAGTTTATTCTAAACGTAACACAAGAAGATTGACTATTGCACAACTATGACATAACATTTATAAATTATACAAATAATTTTCAAGTTCTGTTAACCATTCCAAATGATTCTTTTCCAAAAGAAGGACAACCTTATTCGAAACCAGTAGTTTTAGCCAAGTACATTTCGAAGTTCCAGTACCTTCATTATTCTCTGTGTGCAGTACAATCGACTAGGTAAAGAGAATTATTGTAGGCAGTAATTGCAGCAACTGTATGTTTGCATTTGTACATATTGAACAAGGACAATCAGTGATGGAAAATGTCTTCGTATTCGAATTTGAAATTCAATCATTATGGTCGAAATAACTTCAACAATAAAAGCACAAAGAATTGTTTAATATTTAGGAGCAAGTAGAAAATAATTGAGTAATTTAATATCAAGAATTTCAAGGTATTTTTCTTCCTATGTATAGATAGTAATTACAGAAAAATTCACATTTCAAAATTAATGTTTCCAAGACGATAGAAAATTACAACGTGCAATGCAGATATCTTCGTTCCACTGGATATAACGCCGTATAATCGTCCTATCCTTATTGCGCAAAGAAATGAGCTTTCATGTCACCAATTGTTCTAATTGGATGTCTAGTGTTTCTGAAGCATCGTATGAATTAGTCACGCGTTTTAACACACACATATGTACTTACGTACATCAAGAAGCACGCAAAGTTCTTAAACGGAAGCTATAAGTGCCTGCAATTTCGTGCTATATCTTCTAGATACGTTACAACTGACAATTTCAATTTTACAAAACACGATACCTCGATGTGTCGACATTTCTAAATGAATTTCGTCAAAGTTCTTCAAACTTTTGTCGTATTCCAAGACCAAACTCTTCGTAAACAATTTCGCACCATTTTGAATAGCTCTCAATCAACGTTGAATAAATCTCAAATAGGCTGTGCTACATCAAAAAAGTCTCGTCACGATTGTTAACGTGATCAATTCGTGCAATTCTGTCAGTTATTGATCATGAATGTGGTTCGTTTATTTTAATCGCGTTTATTTCATTCATAATCAATGCACGTACGTACGCTTTGTTTCGAGTTTACAACGTAAGCAGTTTGAATGGAAAGTAATAACTATATACAGGGTGTCCTAATTGTTTCAGTTGTTTCCGATGAAAATTCGCCAGCATGTTCTGTGGGTATAAGTAAGAGAAAAATGTTATATAAACGTAGGTCGTTCGAAGCTTCATTAAAAAGTTACAACAGTAATACGCAACGAACTTGCGATTACCGTGATACGAAGCTTCAAACGACCTATGTCCATATAACATTTTTTTCTTACCTATATCCATAGAACACATTGACAAAGTTTCATCCGAAAAGATTTTGACACCCGGTATGTAGCGTAAATCGTGTAATTAATACAGTCTGCGTTATTTTTTGAAGAGAGTAAATCTGCTTAAATTATTAATTTGTTTTGAAATGGCAATTCTACGCGGTGGTATTGTGCAATTGCATTTCTTTTCAACGTAATACATCATATTTTTACCTTATCTTGAGCAAAGGGAGAAAAAGCAATCGTTACGTGACACGATATACTTATTTGATTAAAGATTACTGTACATTATTGCGTAGAGTCCTATGAAATATGTGCACGCGTTAGAAGCATAACAAAGTACGGACCCGAGTATTTCTTTTTTTCTCTCTCTATCTCTCTCTCTCTCCCGACAGAACGATAAATCGCTACACCTTGTAAATTATGCATTAATGTCGTGCTTCTGTTTCAGTATGGATGGCTCTGATTTATGCTTCGAAGTCGTTCGGAGAGCGACTGCCGGATTCGTGTACAGCGAAGCGGTTGCCAGGTAAGAAGATTGGCGCACTGTGAACGTGAAATTATTTCAAGCATTAAAGACGTTTTCTTTTGTTTTCGAATGTACTCCTCACGAACGCTACCCTTTTATAATTTTATAAGGGAAGGATATTTACCCTAGACTTGACCTGAGCTGCAACAATTCCCCTTTTCTATTCTGCATTCATAACGATGTTACACGTTGACACGTAAAAATTCGCGACGACTGCACAATTTTATCCCCATTGTATATCATTATCGTTATAGACTCAAAGAATGTAGAAATTATCGTTAGATTTGATTTTAAACAATTGCATCGAAATCATTTCTCTTCCTCCTTCGAGTGAATCTTGCCAGTGTTATCTGCCGTACAATTTTCAGGTCTTTCTCTGTCTCATTGCATTCACAATTTTCTTGTTTCTCTAACTTTACTAATTTCCAAGGAAATGTGAGAAAGTTATCGCTAATGTTTGCATGGATTGTGTTAGAAATTCATTGTTTTTTAAATTATATAGAAACGAAGACGCAGTTTTATGGAAAAAGATACAGGGAGATCGATTCTCTGTTAAACGAGTCCACGATTTCGTCCATTTTCTAAAAATCTCATAATTAAAGAATATTGTAACAACAACACGAAGTTGACACCTTATGCAAGCACTATAATTTCGTGTTAGGTTTGAAGAAGGAATATTTCCTATTCTTATTTTATTTCATCAACCTTGTCACTGCTTTTGGCGCCTATAGGCGCTTTGAATATATTCTTGCACCGTGGCCTTGACACCTATAGGCGTTTTGAATATTTTCTCGCACTGTGCTATTGGCGCTTTTCGACACACTTTCACCTTAATTTAAGCCTTGACTCTTGTTCTCTGCGCACCTCCGCCTTAATTTAACGAAATAATAAATTTTAAAATATTTTAATTTCAATTTTTAAATGTTCAAAAAATTTTAAAACGCCGAAACGAAAGATTTCGCGACCGCGATTGAACATCTACCGTCTGTCACGTACGTCACGTGTTAAAATCTGCTGCAGGGTTAACATCACTGAAATGTTTCATTGTTCTCAACGACGCGACGTGTATAATATTAATTCCTATTTTCTTTTCTCGAAAAAGTAAAGAAGATACGAGCATATAGGCAAAATATCTATAATTCACTATTGTCCATGCTGTTCTAGTTAAATCATATGTTTATTGTTATTTTGTAACAGTTAGCAAATAAACGAGGATAATAAAATAAAATCCTGCTTTCCAAAAAATTGTTTTTTTCGAAACTTTGCAAACACTTATACTGTTGTTAAACACTTTATATCTCTCTATAAATCGAAACATTAATCACCGATATCCAAAAAATGTTCATCGTATCTTGAAAATGCCATTATTAAATTCTGCATCGTTTCGTTTCGTTGTGTATTTTTCGACATTTAGTTGGCCGCCTGTTCGTATCGATTCGAATATTCGATATTCGACAACCTGATTGAAACGTTTATCAGCTAATCAACCTCGCAATATCTTACAGGCAAATGAAAGAGGATAAAATGGCTGTTTTAACGAATGTATCCACTTCGCGTTTCACCCTTAAACAAAACGTCGATTGAACCGACATTATCTGGACAGTTTAACGAATATGCAATAAATACACAAGAGCCAGGCGCTCTGACCATCGTTTTTTATATCTCGAGCAACCTTCAATAATACCCTGTCACTCATTCCTTTAACATTTTCCTTAATCGCGTGACCTATACGGTTAAGGAGCATAGACATTTTTACGCTATTTAACCACGAGTTAATTTTGCTCCCGTCGCTTTAATCGCCGCAGTCATTGTCGTTTTCACAAAAGAACAACTAACTGATGTTTCGTTGGACGATAGAAAATAGGCTCTAATCAGATAAGAGTGTGTTCATTTAGTTGAATGACATTAATATGGCTGCAGCCAGTTATAAAAATGTTTAGACATTACTATAGTTTTAACTTTTTTACTTATGTGCGTTTCGTATAACTGCATATAGTGATTGAAAAAAAGAAATGGATTGTTTTGTGCGTTATATGAAGTTGCTTGAATAATATAAATTCTCGTGTCACACAAATATTTGGACACTACAAATTTTTTTTTATTCATCGTTACCTTGAACATTATTTAAAGCAAAGCTTGAACATTCGAAGATTAATAATAAACGTATTTTAATATTAATTCTTTCATTCTTTGACGCTTTGAAAATTTTTTCGTACTGTGCCTTCGGCGCCTATAGGCGGTTTGAATGTTTTCTGGCACCGCGACCTTGGCGCCTATAGGCGTTTTGAATATTTTCTTACGCCGGTGCCTTTTGGCACACTTTCACTTTAATTTAATCCTTGATATTTGTCCTTTGCGCGCTTCCACCTTAATTTAATAAAAGAAATGTAAAAACGATAAATTTTAAATTTTTTAAAAATGTTACTACGTCAAAACAAAAGATTTTCCGACCGCGAGTGAACAGCTACCGTCTGCTACATGCGTCACTTACTAAAATCTGCTACCACGTACTCAAAAGGATTAATAGCATTAATAATATTAAGAGTTTCGCAAAACTAAACTATATAACATTTCGTGAAACAATTCTCTGGATATTGTTTTCATTATCACAAATCGCGGACGTAACTTCAGGAGTGCACAACAATGTGTAAAAATGTTTGACCTAGATCCAAAGTTACACTGTTTTTCGCTGTTATCATTTATTCACCTGTCTTCTTAATAGAAAACGCTATTAGAAACTTTCAACATGCACCGCTGTTCACAGACTAGGCTTGCAGGGAAAACGACTCGTAGAATATTGTGAAAATGTATGAAAGTAATTAGCAAGTTACATTGAATATATGAAAATATTCAGGACGCTAATAGCACGATTCTAAATGAAATTAATTAAACTGGTTTAGAAGGGATAATCGTTGAGATATTAAATATGGTAATGTTCCTGGAATGAGGTCAGATCAAAGTTATGTTCGTAAATCGTTTTCTGCCTTCTGTTTGCTCTATCTAGTCCTGTAAACAGTTACATCTATACTTTACTTTTTATACACATTATATTCGGTTTTATTATTTACAAAAACTGCTTTGTCTATGGTAAAATTTATTATCAATATTTTTACCTGATACACTTTATTCGAATTATGTACAGGTGGCTTTTATTACAATTAGGACATATTGGAAATACACAGTGAAATTTTTGTCATCTTAAATTTCGTCACTGAACGGAATTTAATTCACCATCTAGTCCCCTTGGAAATTAAAAAAGAAACTTCACATAAGTGGTCTGAAAGAAAAAGCATATTAAAAGGATGTTGCATATCGTTATCGGCTCACCAGGCTTTTTCAAAGAAATTTTGAACCATTTTTGAATAGCAAAAGAAATTGTACAGTTTTTTAAACAAAAATCACGAACCTTTTTTCAAATTGTTGTCAAGCACGCAATTTTTTTTGGGTCGAGAACTACGATCCCAAAGAATGTAAAAAAATCGGAAATATTCATTTCTGATCACTCGTACGAGCTGACTCATGCTTATTACACCATTGCACGTAGACGCCATAATTCTAACAATTTTCAATTCTTCATTCCTATTTTCTACTCTGCAAACGTGTACTTTTATACTACAAAAAGAATGAAGTAAATCGGCCTAACAGTTCATCCTCCAGTCACTCACAAACATGGACCAACTTTTACCGCCGAGAAACTTATACGACCCCTTCGTTACTCCAGCAGAATAGGAATAACTCCTCTATTTTGCAACGTCTCGACTTTCCAAAAATTCGTGAAACAAACTCAAAGCTTCACTTATATCTTCAAAAAAAAATTCACACTTTTCCCTCAACAGTTACCCGAGAAAACAAGTCCCAATGCAATACAACCCCTTAAATAAAAAACAGTGGAACGTATAATCCGTCTCGTCACGCGAAACGTAATACAATTGCGGCAACAAAGGAAGACAAGTTCCCGCTCGAGCCACGACAATATCGCGTACACTATGCAGTCGAGATAAGACCGGGAGGATTTTCATCCATCGAACAGAATAGACACAACGCGCGTATATTTTTCAAACCATACATACATACTGATCCCCCTCAGGACTAGAGTGTAACAGCAGCTTTCGTTTTCCAGCCATTACATGCGACAGATCCTGGAGGCGTTACGCTACTGCCACGAGAACGACATAATTCATCGTGATCTAAAGCCGCAATGCGCCCTCCTAGCGGGCAAGGAAAATTCCGCACCGGTGAAGCTACGCGGCTTCAGTGTCGCCGTGCAACTTCAGTCGTCCCAGGCAAACGGCGTCGGTATGTTTAGCACTTTTTCTCTTTCGTTCACGTTTTCTCTGAGTGTATAGTCGATCCACAGAACATACTCTTTCCTGCGCATTCTCGAGGGAAACACACCGGCTACGGCGTTAGCTCTCTTCGCCACACTTTCGCGTTCGTTCTCATCTGTTCTTTTCTTCTTTGAACACGTGTTATACTATGCAAAGGTGGCTGCAATCACCGCTGCCGTGCAACCGATTCGAGGATTCTCCTCGTGGAATATCACGATCCACGCGATTCCACCGAACGGACAGCTCAGGGAATTAACGATACCGTTTTGTTTAGACGTGTTTCAAGTTTACTCGGATTCGAGCAAATTAGCGTTTCGAGTATCTTTTCTTTTAGAAATACTTATAACTTTTAGTAATGAAAAGTGGTAGAAAAGAAATTCGTTTTATCGTCAGAGGGTTCTGAAAATATTGTTTTTATTTTGCATATAGAAATGAAAGAGGAAACGACGATTTGCAGTGTTACGACAGATTCACAAAACTCTGATTAAAATTTCACTTTTGTGGTAAAAAGTATCATAGTAGTCGAGTCAAATTCTCTTAGATAACAATTGTTAATTTCGTATTATTATTAATTCAACAAATTGTTTACGTGGAATTGAACGAAGTAACGTACACAAAATAGAGATGAACAAATTGAAGGAAATATTCAAAATATAGATAGCATAAAAATGAGAGAGATAGAAAAGTTGGAGTTTAGAATTTCAAATTTTAGAATTAGAAATTATGAATTTACCGAATGACTAAATCGTTAATTACCGACTACGTAATTGCAAATCGTATTATCTGCTCGCAGTTAAACAGAACGTTACGATTCTGTTATCTCTAAATGCTTCATGGTACGAAATAATTGAAAGAATGAAAAATTTATGTTTCGGTTAATTAAGCCACTTCGAAATTGCTTGTTTGTTACCGGTTCAATACTGGATTAATTGTAAATGAAGGGTTTCCTTTGTCGAAGATCGTCACAAAGGATCTAGTTATCAAACCGCAGTCACACATACGTATAAGCAAACGTGCCACATTAACGGCGGAAGAGTTCCTCGGTAGACGTTTCGCGACGTCGATAAATTATTGAATTCTCCGTGTTCAAAGCAAAACGAACTCGTTTATCCAGAGAAATGTAGCAAACGTGAATTGTCACTTAAAACTTTCTTGCGCGTTAGTTCGAGGAAGAGAGCTAACTTCGTTCGATCCTGATATCACGACAAATGTCGTTCTTACTTAATGACATTATTAATTTTACAACAGAATCGCGTTAGTACTGAATCACGCTTCTATTCTTTGCAATCATTGGAGAGGCAGCATTCGATATTAATTTGCATATTATTCTCCTACCTTTTTTTTTCACTTTTTTTTTTCTTAATTTTTTTAACAATTACTGTTTGGGATGTAGTGTTATAAGTTTCACTGGCCTGTGACCACAGATCAAGGTATACTTTGGTAGAATTTGGTAGTTGCGTAACATTAGTATGTTGTATTAGTTGATAAATATAGTTTGTGGTAATCTACTGTTGCGTTTCGTCGTAATATCACGTATTTCAGTATCGGTACCGAAATTGAGGTAAAAACTGATGATATAGTATTACATGAAACTATTATTTCGCTATTATTTTTTATTTTTCAAAGCATTAAAAATAATCTTGGTAATTTAGCAAATTTATGGAAAGTAATTTGGTAATGGAGTATTTTGTATTTGAAAATTAGGGTGGCAGCGTTGTTAAATAATAAAAATTAAGCACTTTCGATATAAAGGGTGTGATAATTAAGAAGAAATTTTAGTAGGATTTTTAATATACAGTTTCAAGGTAGTTTCTTTGTTACTATTTTTATTTTTAAGAGTCTTAAAAATAATCTTGATAATTCAGTTTCAGTAATTAGTAGAATATTTTCCATTTGGAATTTTTGGGGTAGCAGTGTTGCTAAATAATACGAATTAAACACTTTCGATATAAAGGGTGTGGTAATTTAAAAACAAATTCTTTTTAGTATAGCAAACTTACCTGTAGTTAGAAAATATTTATCAGGTTTCGGTAAAAAGACAAGTTCCAAGGTACAATTTTACGATCACACGTCCGAGCATAAAGTTTAATATAGTATTTCCATAAATTGCACACATATCCTTGCCGTCGAATCGCGTTTCAGCTTTGACACTTTAAGTGATATTTACATGCAGTATCAGCAAGTTTGTTCATTTTTCACGAACCACTGAAAGGGATGGTGTTTGAATGTACGCGGGCTAGTAGAATCCATTATTTACAAGAACGACCTTAACGAATGTCGTTGAGCTATGCGACCTCCTTTACAGTAGACACCGTTGTAGGAGCAGCCTTAAAAGATTCAGAGGCAAGGAGATGAGCTTGCCCTGCGGGTTAGGACATTATTGCTGCTGGCAGAGTGACATATTTGTAGACAAAGCTGATTAACGTCTCTGCAGATGAAAAGCGCCACTTAGTTACTGCAAGAGGAGGATTCTCTGGCGATGAATTGACAAGAAAAAGGGGGAAGGCCTCTCTATTCGTTCGTAGTATAGTCGGCGGAAGCGATACAGCGAGATCCTAATCGGTGTCGCCGTTTTGAATCGTCTAAAAATAGGCGCAAGTTTGGGAATTTTTTTCACAGGTAACTACTAAAGGAAAAGTTTCAAGTTTTTCAGGGGATATAAATGTAACTTTGAGCTTTCCTCTGCAATTTTTAAAAAGTGAAAATGTTACAAAATGGAGGAGTTATTGCGAAACATCTTCTGCTAGAACGTCGATTACTGGCCGCAATCGTCGGCAAGAATTAGAACGTCTGAAATAAAAAATTTTTATTGATTTATAAATACGGATGTATTATCTACAATGTGGCGTAATACTTTTTCGACATCTCAATTATTTAATTTTTTAGAAACGTTTAAAGTTGATTCTTTTGGTAAAAACAGATTTTTCCTCTTCAAACTGCCACCATTTCTATAATAATTATAATTTTCGAAAAAGCTCAAGCTACATTGCAGATAATACATTTTTACTCATGAATCGACAAAAATTTTTTAGTTCAGTCGTTGCAATACTTGCCGACGACGGCGGCCAGTAATCGATATTCTAACCGAAGAAGTTTCGAAATTAGCGAATTACTCCTCCTCCATTTTCTAACATTTTCACTTTTTAAAAATTGGAGAAGCAAGCTGAAAGTTATCTTTATATCCCTTCAAAAAGTTGAAACTTTTCATTCAGTAGTTACCTACGAAAAAAATTCCCAAACTTCACCTATTTTTAGACGTACTTCCTCAATGCTTCAATTTACGACATCGCGGTATTGCTTCCACCAACTATACATATTGCCAAACGTTCTAAATCTAGGATTGAATGCTGCCTCTTCACATCGTTCAACGACAATGTACCATTTCTTTCTTTCTTTTTCCCACATACAACGCAACGATCGTCTATTTTAAACATTCGTTAAGAAATACTTTTTTCAAAAGACACTTGGTGTTTTCGTATCATCTCTCTTTGCTCTGAATGTCCTATTCTTCACTATTTGCTCGCTTGGTCGATGATTGGCAGTTCGTATTCGAAAATTTCTCGATGTTCAATGTGCAGAATGCAACGGCTTTTATCGGCTATTTCCCTCCAAGGAGTTCGTTCTCCTTCGTTATACCTTTCTAACGATTGTCTTCGTTGGTGTCTCCGTATCTTGCGATCTTCGGTTGCTTCGATATCGCATGATCCCGTGGTAAGTAGAGTTTACACCTGCCTCAAGATACGCCGATGGGAATTTATAGTCGATCAAGTTTCCATGTTTACGCGAGATACGAGTATTTTGTTACTCTGTAACTACGGTAGAACCTTGATTATTCAAATCGTAGTAGCTGATTATATTATAGTTACGAACTCGCGATCGGAAACAAATATGAAACGTGGGATAATTATACACAGGTTATGTTAATGTATTAACCCTTTCGTGACCAGTGGAACGCGAATGTGCCACTTGAGTACTCGAACAATAATTAATCGCAATTTAGCATTCATTATAGACACGATAATCGATGGATAAATAATAAATTCCTTTAGACAGTAATTCTGTCACGAAAGGGTTAACCCACTACAAAGTAAAAGTCTAAAAGTTCGTTTCTTTTTTTTTTAAATGTAAAATCAATTAATTTATTGCGAGTCTTTTTATTTAGAAAAATTGTTTGTATTATCTTTAATAGAATTATGAGGAAAATTATGTCTGATCTATATTGGCTGATAAATGTTGTTATCTAATGATTAAAAATTATATAAAAATAAGCATGGTATTCTATTCTATGTTCTATCAGGTGCTTTTTATTTCACACACATTTCATTGCAGGATAATAAGAAATGACAACTGTAGCTACATAATTGTGCAATTAAAATTCCATTGTAGTCTCATGGTGCTATATATATATTTTATTCGTTAAACTCTTTTTCCCTTTTGAAGATAAAATCTTTTATGGAAGACAGTTTAAAATTCCTTTCTCTCGAAATAGATGAAAAAGAAACACGCTATCAGCAGTGAAAATGAAAAGGAAGAAGAGAGGGAAATTTTATTTTAATTATATGTTTAATTCTCGAGTAATTAAAAGCACACGCGAAAAGCGAAGTTAATTGCTTCAAATAGGATTTAACGCGTTGTTAAGATTTCTAGAAATGAACAAAAAAAAGAAGAAAAGTTCAATCTCGTTAGCTTTTTGAGAAGTATTTAGAACAGAATTCGTTCACCTCTGTTCTGTCACCTTTTCTCATTCAGAAATGCACCTTCATATACTCCGAGAAGACAGAGTCTAATCAGTCTTCCGTGGACAGTTCAATTTCTGAGGAAGGTAGTACAGCCTAATGAAGAAAAATACACCTTGATGAGACTGCGACTCGGATTGCACAATTACAAACTTACAGTCGCCGCCACGTGATTATTATGTTCCTTAAATGAAATATAAAGTCATTGATATCATTGTGCCTAATTCATACT